TGCCGATGTCTTCTTCAAAAGTCGATTAAACAGAGCCCTGCCGATACCAAAAAGTATAGTCCCTGCTATCATAATTCCAAATATATAAACGTCTTCAACATCCTCCTGAGACAAGAGTGAGAGGCACATCAGCTGCCATAGTCCCCACAGATCAATGACATACCCCACAGCGTGCGTCTCAGCTGGACATGCCGGTTCTCCAGGACCTTGTCGCTTTGATAAAAAAAATCTTATCAATAGAGTTGAATGCCCAAGATACCAAATCCATAATCTTCTTAATTTATGTTCGAGAAATGTGAACCAGGCACTTCAGACACGTGACACTTTCATGAGAAAATTATGACACTCCTTAGTGACTTAACCACTTATGAACCTCTGAAAATAGATCCAGGAAGTGGTTACAAGAAGAAGTTGATAGATTGCCTGAAAATTTTGGAGCAGGACAAAGCTATTGACCATTTTCTGTACCACAGACTGTACCCAGGGGAGGCCACACCTAGTCTGTATGGTTTACCTAAAATCCACAAACAAGGTGTACCTTTAAGACCAATTGTTAGCATGATGAACTCTGTCACTTACAATGTTTCCAAATATCTGGCGTCTGTACTCATCCCTTTAGTTGGCAGCTCAGAACACCACATACAGGACAACATGGACTTTGTGGATAAGGTGAGGGATGTCATCATGGAGACTGATGAAACAATGGTCTCTTTTCATGTCACATCACTCTTTACGTGCATTCCTGTTGATGATGCAGTAGAGGTGGTCTGTTTAAGATTAAAATCAGACACCACACTGGTCCACGCTTTCCACAGAACAACTGTGTCAACTCTTGAAACTGTGCCTGCAGTCAACCTGCTTCACATACGGAGAGCAATATTATAGGCAGAAACATGGGTGTGCTATGGGGTCTCCATTTTCTCCTATTGTTGCCAACCTGTACATGGAGGAGGTAGAAAAGAGAGCCTTGACGTCCTTTTCAGGGACACCACCAAGTCAATGGTTCAGGTATGTTGGCAACACCTGGGTTAAAATTAAACCTCAGTAAGTCCAACATTTCACTGATCACACCAACTCTGTGGATAGATATTTTGTATATCAAGTTCACACGAGAAGATGTAAAAAATGGCAGGCTGGATTTCTTGGACTGTGAGGTCTCAGTCTCTGATAGATGACATTTGCAAACTGAGGTGTACCGCAAACCCACCCACACAGACCAGTATTTGCAGTTTGACTCCCATCACCCTTTGGAGCACAAGTTAGGAGTCATCAAGACTCTGTACCACAGAGCAGACAGCGTCCCCACTAACTCAGGAGCCAGGCAGAAGGAGAAATCCCACACAAGACAGACTCTAGAGCAATGTGGATATCCTAACTGGGCCTTCCTGAAAGCAGAGAAGAAACCCAAACAGGACTCCAGTCAGCCATCAGTTGAAAAGGAGGAACCCAGACCCAGATCAGTGGTCATTCCGTTTGTTGAGGGAGTATCAGAGAAAGTGAGATGTTTATTTTCTAAACACAACGTCCCAGTGGCTTTTAAACCCCAAAATACATTACGGCAAAGACTGGTTCATCCCAAAGATCCAGTCCCCCGACACAAACAGAGTAATATTGTGTATGCTGTTCAGTGTCAGGAGGGCTGTGATCAGTCTTGCATCGGGGAAACTAAACAGCCACTGGCCAAAAGGATGGCCCAGCACAGAAGATCAACATCATCAGGCCAGGTCTCTGTGGTCTACACTCATCTCCAGGCCAGCGGTCACTCTTTCAGGGATGAAGATGTTCACATCCTGGATAGAAAGGAACGATGGTTTGAGAGAGGAGTAAAGGAGGCCATCTTTGTGAAAAGAAATTGTCCATCATTAAACAGGGGTGGAGGCCTCCGTGTTCAACTGTCCCCCTCTTACAATGCTGTTATTGCTAGTATCACTCAGCCCTCTGTGAATAGTAAACAGCCATCAGGGTGCTAATGATCCATTGTTAGGCTGATGGTCCTTCTTGATCATGTGAGCAGCTGGTTTTGGCTGTCACTAGCAAACTGGTTATCCACTCTGAGAAGGTGCTATTTATAAGACTGAGCTGAATACAGCACCTCAGACTGAGGAAGTCTTTCGGATGAAAGACGAAACGTTTCTACTTTTTTTTTTTAGTTTGTTTTGTTTTTTGAATGTCCAGAGGACCAGACTTAACTTTTTTTAGAATACTTCAAAACTATTTTTTCAGAAGTAGGAGTAGTTTGGATGTGTTACTGTGTCCAGGTCTGGAAGGAGACCTAATCTCCCCCCCTCAGATGAAAGGAAATTGTTTATATGTTCATTAAAAAATTAAATTAAATAAAGCCAGACATGAACTGGAAACGCAAGAATATCCACAGTGGATCCAGACTGACATCATGATGGAATGAGAGGGTGAGGGCCAAGATAGAAGCTCTTGCTCCAAACCTAACACCTTCAAGGAGGACAGAGCATGAACTCTTGAGTTTGACAGTCAGATTAGACAAAGACTGAGCTATTTGGCAGCAGGAACTATGTTTGCATTAGTCCAACTTAAGAACACAGTCCCAACCATCAAACATGGCACAGTAGTATAGTGGTATAACATTCATGTTCATGTAGAGTGTATGTAAACTTCTGACCACAAATGTATGTTACAAACAGAGCGACCAGATGACTCAATATGAGAGATCGTAAGTTGCTCATGTGTCCACATTCACCAGCAATCATTTCGTTAGGGTTCCATCGTGTTCTGATCTCTACAAGGAAATGTGATTCAGCAGCTCTGATGACTAATGTGACGGACTGTGAGGCAGCAAACAGAAATGGCGGCCAACGGGCTGACATTTAACTAATAGCTTTCGCCTGCACATTACAACAGGGAATATCAGAAAGGTCAGTGGGACAGCTGTTTTACATTTTGTGACAAGCTGCTGTTTGTGATTGTGCCAAACGGTGTGTGGGTGAGGTCCAGATCCTCTCGTTCTGCTGAACGAGGTCCAAACTGTGCTCAGCAGGGGCCTCCTGGAGGAGATCAGACGTACGGTTTGATTCTCACTTTGTTTGTCATCCCTCATGACTGCTGTCTTCACCTGCAGTCCATAAATCCACACACTGATAAGTCGAGACTAAACATTTTGTTAGTACAGTAAAAAAGGTTTGACCAAACTGAACATCAACAAATGTGTGTGTGTGTTCATGTGTCTTATGAATCACTTGATGGACCTTAATAGAACTGGAAGAAATAAATTGTTTAAAAAAACTTCTACAAAATGATTAACTTTTGGAGTTAAATCTGTTCAATGAGGCTGCTGTAGCCTTAAAATGAAAACACAAAAAATGCTGCAACTTTGGCAATTTACCAAATATTGACCTGGTGTGGTAGTAGCTGAGAGTCATCACCAAACATACTGCAAGCTCTATTGATTGTGCAATATCTGATGGAAAAAGTTTGCTGTTAACTTTTGACAACAATACTGTCTGTCTGTTAGCAAAATATCTCATGAATCAAGGGACAGATTGTCATGAAACCCCCAGACAGTGGATGCATTCATTAACATCTGGAGCTGACTCTGTTCAAAATGGCCACCACAGCTAAGCAACCCAATAACTATGTTACAGATGTTGACCTAAAACTTGTGGTAGTATCTGAGATTGATTCCCAGCACAAACATCTACAATTGTTTAATATTTGGAGGCAACCCAATTCAAGATGGCCACCACAGCTAATCAACCTTTGCCACCCCATGTTTGTCAGATTTACAGATACTGAGCTGAATGTGGTGTGGTGAACAAAAATCATCTCCACTCACTTCTTGCAACAAGATTGTACCTAACATTTACATGGTTGGCATAAAACGGATAAAACTCTTGCACAAAAGGCGGCGAACAGTGGAAAGAAAAAGCTAATTCTTTATTTTAAAACTGCTATGTGGATCTGGCTCTGTGTCAAATTCAGAATAGAATTCAAAATCTTACTTCTAACCTACAAAGCTCTCAACAACCAGGCTCCATCTTATATTACAGGTCTGATTGTTCCATATTTTCCTAACAGAGCATTTTGCTCTCAGACTGCAGGTTTAGTTGTGGTTCCCAGAGTTTCCAAAAACAGAATGGGAGGCAGATCTTTCAGTTATCAGGCTCCTCTCTTGTGGAACCAACTTCCAATCTTTGTCCGTTAGGCTGACACATTATCCAGTTTAAAAACTAGGCTTAAGACTTTCCTTTTTGCTAAATCCTATAGTTAGGGTCGGCTTGGGTTTCCTGAGCTGTCCCTTAGTTATGCTGCTATAGGTTTAGACTGCTGGAGGACAAACTGACCCCACTTTTCACTCTGCTACTGTCTTTACTTACTCTGCTCAACCAGTTTTGTATTTGTAATTATTTTTTTTATCCTTAACATGAGTTTTTTTTTTTTTTGTCTTTCTGGACCTACCACTCTGTGTTCGTCTGTCTCTCTTTCCTGTCCTCTCAAACCAGTCTGTCAAAGCAGATGACCCCTTGTCCTGTGTCTGGTTCTGCTGGAGGTTTCTTCCTTTTAAAAGGGAGTTTTTCCTTTCCACTGTTGCCACTGTGCTTGCTCAGGATGGGAGACTGAAACAAAGCCAAGATTCAACTTGTCTGCTGGATTCCTTAGATAGAGAACTTTACTAGTTGGCTTTTATGTATGTGAATGTTACTGTAAAGTGTCCTGAGACAACTTTGTTGTGAATTGGTGCTATATAAATAAACTGAACTGAATTTCACTCATTTGTGAACTCCTGCTTGCATGTGTGACACAAGCTGTAGACCTAAACTCTTCAGATTATCAGCTGCTGCTCGTCTGGAGACGAGTTTTATAAAGCTTCAACATGTGAGCTGAGTCATCATGGTGACATGCCAGTGACTCAGGGTTAGATCAGAGACACACTCATTGTGTTATCTGTGTTGCACACTTTACCACAACACACACACACAGTCATAGATCTATATTAAAGTTAACACAGCATGCAGCATCTGTGCACCTCCCTTCTGCTCCCATAGTTTTAGGCGTGAAGACAAGGCCATAGTGTCACGGTGGGAGGGGTGAGGGCCTGTGGTGATGGTGAGTGGAGGGTCGAGGAGGTCGTCTCAGTGATGGCAGCCAGTGGAGGCGTGTGTGTGAGCAGAGGGACAGCCTAACGATGAATACAGTTACAAATACAGACATTAGTTGTGGTGCATTGTGTCAGTCATGGAGCAGCAGTCACACAAATCACACTCGACACTTTAGAACCATCTTTATTTGTCTGTCGGGGTCTGTCTATTGTTCTTTGTGTCTGCACTTCTTTCTGAAAGTTTATATAAAAACATAAAAAACATATTCAAACACTTTTATGACAACAGTGAGTGTAATGAAGCTCAGTGTGATGACAGCCCTGAACTGGAAACACTCAGAGAATTACAGACAATGGAAAAGGACCAGTTGTGAAGTTTTCTGTGTCGAGACATCATGAAGATGATGTGGTCTTTATTATGTTCATCTGTCTTCAACAACTGAATCCGTCATGCCATTTTTATTCAACAAAGTAGGTTTTCTGTTTGTGGAGGAATGTTGGTGACATTTTCTCTAACATGTTGCTGTGCATTATGGGTAAACGTCTTTACTTTGGTCTCGTGGTTTATTTTTCAGTAACTTTGCTGCCAGAGATGTTTCCTCCTGTAACAAGTCACAGTTGTTCAGTCCTTTTCCAGTCTTTGACCAGCTAACAGAGTCAGAGGGAAGCTCTTGGATATGTTTTACATTTTCTCAGAGCATTGCACAGCCTGACCTTGGGGTGATTTTGCTGGAAAATCAAGTCAATCATCTTAAATGTTGCCTTTCACCCTCCTCAGAGTTTTGAGCAGCATCTGTTGCTTCTCTAGGGTCATTGCTGATGTCTTTCCTTCTTGGCATTATGTTAACACACACCATGCTCCAAGATTGTGCCCAACTTGTGCTTTCACAGGACACTGATTTAAAGGACACTCAGTTAATAAGTACGTTTGATCAGAAGCTGCTGATCCTGAACATTGTAAATCAGGTGGAAACAAAAAGGGTGGACGAGGATTTTCACAGATTTTTCATTTTGACTTTGTTTTTCATATATTCAGGATTAGATATGAACACATTTAGAATCTGGTAAAGACCACATATTTTTAGTATGACAGAGATAAAGTTGTTGAGAAGATTAAAGTAGGGTTGGCTTATTAAATATCCCACTGATCCTTGTTCAATCCAAAAAAAATGGAAAACGTAGAGCCCAGCTGTAAACCCACCAAGAGATGGCCGTCCACCTAAACTGACAGGCCAGGAAAGGACCGGAGGAAGAGCTGCAGAGATCCACAGCTCAGGTGGGACAGTCTGTCCACAGGACAATTATTAGTTATGCTTCACGCGTCTGGTCTTTATGAAAGAGTGGCAGGAAGGAAGTCCTGTTTGCAGTTTGTCACAAACCATGCAGTAGACCTGTGGAAGACACCTTCTCTGCTCAGAATGTTTAGCTAAAATACATATTTCTTTGGAAGTGTTAGTTTTCCACCTTATACTGTGAAACATGGCAGTGGAAGCATCATGCTGTGGGGGTGCTTTTCTTTAGCAGGAACAGGAAAGACGGCCAGAGTTGATGATGAAGGGAGATATTTACTGGACAGAAAGCCAGTTAGAGGCTCAAACATCCAGTCAGAGCTACAACAGAGTGGTGGGTGCATATCAAGGAATATTTAAGTTAGAACGATAGAGACAAAGTCCAGAACTAACTCCATCTGAAAACTTGATCAAAACTGCTGCTCCATCCACACTGAGCCATTTTAGAAAGATGAATGTGAAAATCTGGCAGAGACAAACCCTAAAAGACTCGCAGCTGGTTTCACAAACCATTCAATCAAAGGAGTTGATTACAAATGCACGCTGTATTAGTTGGTTTGTAAAAAAATTTCAAAAACAGATATTTCTTTTCTTTCCCCTTCACAATTATTCAGTACTTTGTGTTGGTCTGTTACATCAAATCTCAGTAAAACATTATAATATGTTGAATCATGTCATCTGGACTTCGTTTTTGACTGAGAAAACAAACTTTGTATTATAATATGTTGTTTGTCATAACCAAAAGTGAGGGCTGGAATGGAGAAGGATCAATGCATTGACAGCTTTGCCTTCTAGTTCAGCTTCTTCACTATGCCAGACCGGATCAACATTCTTATCGCTTTGGACAAGGCCCCGCCTGTCAGTCCATCTCCCGCTCCATCACACTGGCACTTGTGGTCCAGACTCACTGATCCTTGAACTCCGCTTGACATAAAGAATCATCTTTAACTGTCAGGAAGCATTTTCTTTTGACAGAGCATTTTGGGGGAGTGGTGGCGCAGAGGTTAGAAGATGGGCTTGTGATCAGAAAGTCGCAGGTTCACCTCCTGGTACCGTCAACATCAAAATGTGGGTGGAAAAGGTGAAACACTCACAGCTCCCTCCACCCTCATTCGCCCCACTCTGGGCCCCCGAGCAAGGCCCTTAACCCCCACCATCTGCTCCCTAAAAAGGTCTCTCTTGAAAATGAGTACTTGTGGCTCAATGTGACTACCTGTATAAATAAAGGGTAAATGAAAAAAAAATTCTATACACATTTTATTTATTTATTTATTTTTATCTGCAAATATTCATATAACTGATAAGACTTGTCAGTTTTGAAGCATGTATACAACTCTTAATATTCAACATGAATTTAAGGAATACCATCCCAGATTCCAAACTTCAACTTTTCCAACTCTGAACTCACAACATGTTTGCTGACAGTTTCCAGGTCTGCAGTGGTGACATTTTTATTTGCTCCACTCTTTTCGTCCTATGTGTCCAACTGTGAAGCACCATCAAACAAATGTTTGCGTCTAGGAAGTAGGTCTCACCATTTCTAAACAAACCGTTCTCATGCTTTCATTCTTGTTTTTTTTTTTTATTTCCAGAGCCTCTCAGTTTTCAATCCAGCATTCTCATCTTATCTAACTCTGAGGTGGGAGCTCAGAACTCAGGCCTACAGGGAAAATCACAGATTAAACCCGACTGGTGTGAGACACCAGTAAACAACTCAACAACAGAATGGGACAACGTCACTAATGTCTCCAAGTCATTTTAAATCCTGTCTTCAGGGATCATGGATCCAACATGGTTAGATGTTGTTTTACAGTTCGGCTCAGACCCCGGGTCAAGTGTTGAAGTGTCACATGACTGAATAAACAAATCACAAGAATTCAAAGAAAATCTCACAGAAACACTGTATAATAATGATTATTTTACAAAAGCCCAAAATTTGATGAACATCTGATCAACTTTTAACGTCAGCCTGAGGACGCAGTCAGATTTCTCAGACCTCATGTAGCCCCCCCTCCATCAGCAGCTCTCCCTCAAACTCCAGAGAAGACATCTTTACCTCTCGATGAGTGCGTACCAGGACAGGACGAAAACACGGAGGAGTGGAAAACCTTCCAAAACGTCACCGAATCGGCTCAAAGATCCAGAGGCCTGATGTCAAATTCTGTGAGGGCTTTGCGAGGGTCCCTGCCGTCACACAAACTCCACCACAGACTCACACTGGGTGCAGCTGACTATGGGGGTGGGGGGGACATGGAGCAGTAGAGTCAGAAATAGAGCACTCACTTTAAGCAGCATAGCAGGGCTGACAGATGATTCTTCTATAAATATCTGCAGGCACAAGGTGGAGGAAGGGGAGACCAGAAATAAGTGCTAAAGAAACATTAACCTGTTTATACCAACACTGCTCATTTATTATTTACATTAACTTTTCATCTGTTCCCCCATAAACTTCAAACAAATCTAACGAGCAGCAAAAAGACAAGTACTTGCTCAAAAAAGTAATCATCATCACAGAAATGTGCACCAATACAAGTCGAAATGATTAACACTCCACATTTTAAAAACTCTTTCATGATTAGTATTTACTGTAATTGGATAAAAACAAAAAGTTCTCAGCAGATGTGACTGAGGAGTTTGCAGATTCCACTCGTCTGAAGCTGTGGAAGTGCAGATCTGCAGAGCATCAGCTGTCTGCTCAGACTGACAGCTGCAGCTGATGGAAAGGAGTGTGAGGGCTCTGTTAGAGAAATGTCTTTAAACTCACACCGCTGCAGGAAGAGATCATTCTTCCTCAACGTGAACCTTAGTGCTTAGAACTGCAGACAGTTTTGAATTAATAAAACCTCCTGAATGGGAAGCAAAACATCTTAAGCTTCAGAATACATAAGAAGCCCAGATGTTTTTGATTTTTAACACTTTTTGTTTTCATGGTCATTTTACTGTGACTGCATGTGGTGGGTTTGTCCTGAGCAGCTATTTCAGAAGAGTCAGGGCTGTAATCTACATGTTAGATTCAAAGCCACTCACATGTGTTGTGACAAAGCGACTTTGGGTAAAAACAAGTTCCCACTTCCCTCTGTGCTTTTTACTGAGAATAAGTGGAACTATGTAGACCTAAATCTCCAACATGCAGCTCAATAAAAAATGTGGACTCAATTCAAGACAAAATGTGTTTATGCTGGTTTTATTTATCTTTTTTTTTTAAAGTTTCATACATCAGAGGAACTGTGTAAAATGCTGGGACAGTCTGTGGCCCCTTCCTTTGTCGGTTATGGTTTTATTGTCTCTCTGTCTTCAGCCAGCTGTTTAAGAAAAACTCCAATTACATATATGTATGTATGTATGTATGTATGTATGTATGTATGTATGTATG